CCCCACCCCACCTCTGTGGCAGGGCATTCCCTTTTGCTCTCTCTTTCCTTGGTGAAATAGATTCTTAAAGAGATACCCAATAGGAATATTGCACAGAAAAGAAGGGGGGGGGGGGGGAACTCATTTCCTAAAAATTATCCACCAGAGGAAAAATAACCATGGTGTCTCCAATCATTGTTCTGTCTCGTGAGTCAAATTAGATCAGTGGCCAGAAATCAGGATTGCATTCCCAGGATGGACATTTTTACCTTATGACCCTGATACTCCACACAGGCACATGTGTGTATATGTAGGAAATTCGCTGACTTTTATTGTTATAACCCCAACTGATTCCTTTTATTTTTATTTCTCACTGGTACAGATAAAATTGATTCGGTTGGCAGTGATCTCAGTTTAGAAAACATGATATTTTCCTCATTGAAATTTAAAAAAAAAATGCCGCTTGCCGCAAAATTTCCTTAATTTATAAGACAAGTTAGGGTTGGAGAGATAGTACAATGGGTTAGTTCTTGCCTTGCACGTGGCGGATCCCTGTTTGTTTCCTGCAGCCCATATGGTCCCCACAAGCCCAGCAGGAGTGATCCCTAGGTATATGGCCCAACACCAAAACAAACGAGAGAAAAATAAAAGCAGTGTTATTTTCCAAATTGTGCACTGTGGGAGGCTCTGCTGTTTTGTAGTGACTCAGAGGGTCTGTGCCATGCTCGTTCCAAAGAAGTCATGCAGATAAATGCGGCAAAGACGTTGAGTTCCCTCTGTTAAGAAGTCTGTTTATTCCAAACTTCTTTGACCACAAAGTTCTTTTCATCACATCCCTATTTTGAAAGACATTTGGGAAACGCAAAGAAAACTTACGTGATTTGAAAACTAAAAAATTCTAAGCCTTGTTGCTTTATGATCCATTTAGCATCTTAGAGCAAGCATTTCAGATGCTAAGATTTTCCTGAACCGTTGCAATGCAAGAATCGCTCAGCACTATTCTGGTTCTGGGGAAGGAAAAGAGGTTCCTGCTGTCTCAGTTGTCTCAGCACCAAATAAAGTGTTTCAGGATCCGTTTAGCGTTTGAGACACTTGACACATTTCATCTCAGGATCTTACTAGTACGAGAAAGGTTTGGAGGTTGTTTGGTTGAAAAGAAGCATATGTCACATGAACAAAGTATCTCTTTGATATTTTGAAAGAAATATCATTTGTGTCACTCCTGTTGGAAAATAGTCTTTTTGCTGAGAATGAAAACTGTCACAATTATGTCAAATTTCAACTGTCAAACTAAAAGTCAAGTAAGATAGAGGAAAAACGTATTTTGAAATTAACTTAGCTAAATAAAATATGAAAGAAGTAAGCAAATATAAGCAAGTTGGATCCATTTGCTAGAAACGCAGTTTCTACATTCAAAGAGCAAAGAAGTTGAGTAAACTTACAGTGAGGGAAAAAAAAATAACTTAGCTAGTAATTGAGCAAGTGAATTCCAACTTCAGATAAAGATCATGTTCCGCTCTGGAAAGAAAGATGGCGGCCGCATGGGAGCCTTGTGGACAGCAGGTTTGAGCCGGGGGTGGGAACGGCAGGGACCTCATGGGAAGGGTGGCGTAACGGGCCGTCCTTCACGCCCGACCGAGGTCGCCAGCTGCCCCCCACGAGCGGCTCTCCGGCACGGCCACAACTCCAGAGCACAGAAACCAATCTCTTAACTATCTAACTTTTAATAGAAATACTTCCAGGGTTAATAAGTAAAACAGCAGAAATCCAAAACCGCGCGGCCGCTATTGCGGCCGTGCGACATCATTTTATTCTTAAACCAAGCTGTAGAAAGCAAATCATTTCACACGCTGTTTCAGCATATCTGATTGGGGCGGGGGTCGTAAACTCTAAACAATAATTGTGCATCTTCTATCGAAACAATGTATCTAGTCAAAGTAGATAGAGTATTAACTAGAACTCATCTGCCTCACAGGAATTGGGAGGGGTGGGAGGTGGGGTTCTATTGGGGTTCACGGTTAAAAATAAGTATTGGTAAAGGGAAATGTGTGATACTTACATGACTGAGACCTAAACCCGAAAGCTCTGTAACTTTTCCCACAGTGATTCAATAAAAAAATAAATTATAAAAAAAAAAGATCATGTTCCATGCATAATCTATACCAGGTACTAAGAATGACTATTCACAGAATCTCAGCTACTTGCAGTATCTTAGCCACTCACAATTACACTGTGTCCAATTGCAAATCCAGTTCTCAGAGATACAGTGAACTGCTTTGAGCTTGTGTACTTTTCATACATGTATTAATTCATAGAACTACTTTCTCCCACCATCATATTCCACTTGGTTCAACTTCTTCAGGAAAATTTCTCAGGTTCTATTTTGCTGCTTCATCCCAATGTATCTTTCTCTCATTTTCTAAGTTCCTTATACATCAAGTCCTTCCCTCTATCACTGAATTCGGCATGTTATGTGAATCACATTTTTGTGGTACCTCTTCTTCCAACCAGATTTATGAGTTTACTTGAGAACAAGAACTATGCCTTGACCACCTTTTGATCTTCTGTAGTTTGTTAGTGGTGCATAATAGATGCTTGATAAACGTTAGAATGAAAGTTCCAGAATGCTGTCTTTGCTCTAATTGCATGCTAAGGGGTGCCAGACCCATTCCTGATAATTCAATACCACTTAAATGTTGAATACTATACAAGGAACTTCAGATAAAAGAGAAAAAACAGTCTTAACGTTCTGAAGCCTATATAATTCCCTGTAATAGGTGTAAGCTAGAATGACTGTCAACATAATTTGAAATAAGATGAATGAGATCAACTAATTTTACCTGATTGGATTACAGAATCATTGTAATCTAATTCAATTGACCTGTAATAAAATACTGATTGGAAGTGGCTTTGGAATCAGATTACTTTGAATCACAGTTTGTGAATGTCATCTGGAGCAGTTTGCTAACTAATATCTCTGATCTTTGGTTGTTTTTTCCTTATTTTTTGTACCTTATTTTTTTAATTTAAATTTTTATTGTGTTCATCTTTTATGAATACAATAGGTATTCATAACAAGGGCTGGATCGATAGCACAGCAGTAGGGCGTCTGCCTTGCACGCAGTCAATATGGCTGACCCGAGTTCGATTCCTCTGCCCCTCTCGAGAGCCCGGCAAGCTACCGAGAGTATCTCGCCCGCACGGCAGAGCCTGGCAAGCTCCCCGTGACATATTCGATATGCCAAACACAGTAACAACAAAGTCTCCAATGGAGACGTTACTGGGCCCGCTCGAGCAAATCGATGATCAACGGGAGGGCCTTTACTTACTTTACTTTACTTCATCTTTTAAATTTTAGATTAGGCATTGTGATTTACAATATTGCTACTGTCAGGGTTTCATGCATAAAACATTCCAATACCACAGTCACCATCATTATCCAGCCCCCCTTCCCCACCTCAGGGATGTGCTTCCTGCTAAAGACTAGAGGACCCATTTCTGTTGCCTTTGGTCTTCCTTATTTCCTTATTGTTTCTTTATATACCACCCGTGAAGGAGATCACTCTGTATCTGTCCCTCTCCTGACTAACTTCACTCAACATGATACTCTCCAGGTCCGTCCACGGAATAACAATTCACATGATTTCATCTATTCTTCTGAGTAGTGTTCCATTGCATCTGTGTACTATAGTTTCTTTATCCAGGCATCCGTTCTTGGACACCAAGGTTGTTTTCAGATTTGGGCTAGTGTGCAGAGCGCTGGAATGAACATAGGAATGCAGATGTATTTTTTGAATAGAGTTTTTAGACCCTTGGTGTAAATGACAAGAAATGGAATTGCTGGATCACATGGACGATTAATTCCTAGTTTTTTGAGGAGTTTCCATAATCCAAGACACACTGTAGTCAAAATGACCCAGTGCAATGTGAGTTGTCTTGCTACTGGGTCAGTGCAGGTGAGGTTTGCTGCCTGCTGACGTCACAGGGCTTAATTCTGAATGGGAGACAGAGCCCCTTCCTTCTGCTCAGCTCCCAGCATCCTCCGCGCCAACCTGCACTTCATAACCAGGCCTGTGGTACGGTTCTTGCCTGACCTTTCAGCTGTTCCGCCTCTGTGATAGTACTTGTGGAGTGATGTGTGCATGAAAAGTATCAGCAACATTAATATTTATCCAGTATCTCAGTAACAGTAAAGTAAAAGTAAACAGTGGTTTAAAAAATAAATCTTAAAAACGGCTCTGTAGGGCTGGAGCAATAGTCCAACGAGTAGGGCGTTTGCCTTGCACAGGGCCGACCTGGGTTCTATTCCCAGGATCCCATGTGTTACCCTGAGCACCACCAGGAGTGATTCCCGAGTGCTGAAACCAGGAGTAACCCCTGAGCATTGCCGGGTGTGACCCAAAAAAGCCAAAAAAAAAAAAAGGACTCTGTGGCATAAACAGTGGAAATGATATTAGATTTTAAAAAGTCAGCGGACCCATCCCTTGGAACTTTACTGTATAGTGCCAATCTTCAGCTTAATTCAACCTAAGACTTAAGTTCTTTTCACCTGGAATAAAGGGATATTGCTGTTCATTCCATCACCAATATGCATGGTAAGTATTAAGGGTAAAATTCTCTTTTTCATAAAGCTAAGACAGAGCTTTATTTTCCTACTTAACAGCTTTCTAAGCACTTTTCCCAGCTGATTGAAATATGTTAAACCTGATTATCATTTCTTGACTAGGTGGTTGTTAATGTCCTCTTCAGCTGAATAAAGTAATTTAAACAAATACATACAAAATCTTCAGATAGTAAAATGTGTATCTGCTACTAAATTTTTGAATTTGACGGAATTCTTTTTTATTTCTTGAAATATTAACACTCAGTTCTAAGTCATGTATAGGTCCATGTTGATTGAGGTCTAATAAGGTAACAATAATTAAAACACACTTATCTTAAAGTTACTCTGAATTTAATGTTGCAAAGGGGATTCCTACATATTAAAATATTAACCATGTTTGGTTTTCATTTAATTTCAGATCTGAAAATTCACCTCCAGACCACTGATTATGGCAACTTCTTGGCCAATCAAACGAATCCTCTTACTGTTTCCAAAATTGACACTGAGATGAGGAAAAAACTTTGCATGGAATTTGAATATTTACGGAATCATTCTCTGGAGCCCCTAAGCACATTTTTCAACTACATGACGTAAGTGATAACTGAAAGTCCCCAATGTTATTATACAAATATCCCCTAACAGTTAAAGTGGAGTATTAAGACTTCTATTGTTTGTAACTTTAAATACATTCAAATTTTAGTAACTACAAATAGTAAACTAATAGGAAACTTAACATCCTAGTTTTACTATTTGAAAATAGTTTTCTACACTAGATCTTAGCCAAAAGGCTGAGAAATGAAAGATGAGTAAAAAGAGGCTGTTAAAATCTCAGGGTTAGGAGGAATAGAGATGTTACTGGCTCCTGCTTGAGTAAATCGACGAACAATGGGATGACAGTGATACAGTGAAAATAGTTTTCATTATTTATATATGAATTTTTAAAGGTGTTGGTAACCTCTTATAAACCAGTACTTTCTGTATTCATTTTACTTTATCTTATTTTTTTAATTGAATCACTGTGAGACACAAAGTTACAAGGTTATTCAAAATTGGGTTTATCATGGTACGGATTACTACAGTTTGCAATACAGATACTGAAAGATTGTCATGTATATCCCTTTACCTACTTTCACCACTCAGTTCTTATCCAGAGGGATCATTTCTAACTATCATTGCCTTACTGATCTCTTCTCTATCCTGTTTTCATTTTAAAACATGTTAAGTGGGGCTAATGCTTAAAGTATTCTAACTGTTGGACTGAAGGCAAATATGTGACATTTTTGGATTACAAAATGAGGTTAAAATATTGCAGATTGTTCCTAAGACTACATCTACTTTTTCATGATTTCTTCTTGTAATAGTTCAAGTGGCTTCTCTGTAAACACACAAAAAACGGGTGGGCTAAGGGGACGGCATCGACCTTTCTCTTCTGCCGCCCTTGTTCGGTAGACTCTGGCCAGCCGTTTCCCACTCCAGGGAGGTCGATGGCGATGGTCAGGTGAAGGAAGGAAATGAGGGCCAGGCTGGTTGGTCTTAGCAGCACTTTATTACATGCAAGAAATGTATGTCATGGAGGCCTCAGGAGTCCTCAAGCCCCCGTACCCTGAGAGAGCACCCCCTTATATACATCATGGTACCTTTAAAGGGCCAATATAGTGATGTCATCAAAAGGAGTTACAGAAAGAACATTGAAGCAGCAAACTATACATTGTTTCTTTACATCCGCAGGCCAGTAATCTTGGCCTTACCTTTTACAAGCTACTTGGAATAGCACATCAAAGACCAGTCTGCTAGAGCTTGGAGTCTACATCTCAAAGATCAGCCTGCCTGGAGCCAGGCATCTACAGTCCCAAGATCAGGCCTTGCTTAGCACCTGAGATCTGCTTACCTAAGACCAGCTAGGTTCCTGTGAGATAAGGGAAACTGCTTCAATATACTGAAATCATTTACTGAAGGCAGTTTGAAGGGGGAGAAAAGTTCAGTCTCATTCAAGCTAGTCAGGACACACAGGAAAACTGCTTCTAGGACAGATTCTCATTCAGCAGATCAACCCACACTAGAACAGAATTCCCTGGATGTTTTTCTCCTCTCCTTGTCCGACCAACATATAAACATAAATAATATAAATCATTTTGTATGGACACAGTAAGAAATACTTTAAGTTTATAGAATTGCTCTCCCAGGACCATCCCAATCTCAGACTGCAGTGCTCAGGCCAGATGTCTTTCCTATTCTTAGCATCAGGGTCCTAGTTTCGTCGTTACTTTTGGATCATAACAACATTTGCCTATAGTCAAACTCTTAACTTATAGTTAAGAATCGTGGCACCTTGGCCTGGCCCATCGCGATGCCAGGGTAGCACATAACTTACCGGCTTGCCCTGGTTCCATCCAGTCCCACGTCGGGACCCTGCCCTTGGGGTGCTAGGAAGTGTGGGCAACTGAGGCTTAGGTTGAGAAAGCAGATGCCCAGAAGTGAATAATATTCAAACCCAATTAAGTCCTAAGTTATAAAGCATAATATTAATTGTCTTCCTGTATCTATACAAAAAGGCCATTGTATTAAAGTAAACTATTCAAAAGACATAAGGAGAGGAGAAAGGCAATATTAACTTACAGTACAGCTTCAGTGTCTAAGAAGGACGAGACCTTACAAATTGGTTGGGGAAGAGAGCACAAGGAAGTAGTTACAGACAAACAAAAGTAATGGGAATGACTCGGTAGTACTGTGATGGGTGTAGCCTGATAAACCTAAGCTCCTTGTACTCCAAAAGCCTTTCCAGTTGCATATATTTTCTTAAATTTTTATCCTTCTCTATCACCAGTGTTCCAATCTTTCAATATAAAGGCCTGTTAGTCTAAAAATATCCCTTTTAATTTCTACCCAATGAGTAAATTTTGTTTGTATTAATTTAGTTGAATTCTATCCTGTGCTTACAACAGACTCTCCAGTTTTCTTAATGTACAAGTGTGAATAAATGTCTGCGGTTGATGACCTCTTACCTGTTACACTTCAGATGTAATATTCAGCGTTATGAATATTAGATTCAGAACAAAGCCTGTTTCAGGAAGATTTAACATAAAATACATGTCTTTCGGCCAAAGATATAGTACAGTGATAAGGTACTTGTCTTGCACACAGCAAAATCTGATTCAAGCTGCTTTCCTTAAGGTCCCCCAAGTCTGCAGGAGTGATCCCTGAGGCCAGAGTCAGGAGTCAAATCTGAGCACCACTGGGTGTGGCCCCAAAATAAAAATTTATATATATATATGTATGCATAAATGTATATGCCTTTGTCCCACATGTCTTCTTCTACCTACTCTTTTGCTCTCCCCACAAAGCAACTACTTACTTTTTTTTTTCTGGTTAGCCTCAGGGGAGGCGGAAGAGACAGACACCTTTTCCCTCCCGTTGGGGGGTGGGGCATGGCACCGTGGTTTAACGCATAGTCCATTCACATTTCTACCACAAGCTGCTGGATTCTGAATTAGGTCTGTGTGCCTCTGGGGCCATGGCCATTCTGGAGGGCCACGCATCAGGGGCAACTCATCGCCTTGGTAGGGCGTTGACACTCAACCTATCCTACCCCACATTTCCAATGGATACATATTAAATCATACTCCTATTATCACACTCCTATTTTTCTTTCCTCATGAAACGGTTATATAACTTTTTCTCATTTACAAAAAATGTGATATCTAATTTTCTCATTAAAAATAGCTTCTTACTATCTAGCTCATAAATTATTTTCAAAATACAATTCTAGTACTGGAAAGTAGTAAATCAAAGGAATGTCCTTTATAATTTTGAAAATTTATCCTAAATTGAACTTAGCAGAAGTAGTACAAGTGTTCAACTCACCATTCTCAAATATTTTTCGTTATTCTCAATGTTATTATGCCAATCTGAAAGGTTAAAAATTATGTATCAAAATAAATAAATAATTAAATAAGAAAAAAAAGAAAAAAAGAAAAACCTTTAGAGGAAGTGATGTATATAACATGTGTAATGTATTAGGCAAATTCTCTCATGTTATATGCACTACATGATGGAAAATATCCATAAAACCATTTTTGTATGTAAAATGAGACATATAAAATTATACATTAAACACACCAAAGGTTATAAAATTTCCATCTAGAAAAAGTACATAGAATTTTTAAGGAACAAAGACCAATTAAAGTTAAATAAGAATTACTATAAAATTATCATTTTAAAGGAAAAAAATTTAGGGGGCCAAAGATACAGTATAGGGGTTAAGGTGTTTGCTGTGCACGTGGCTTCACATAAAGTCCCCTGAGCATTACAGTATTTCTAAAAATGAAATGGTAATGTATTAATTCTAAAATACATTAAGTGGGGAATAAGTTTGAAAACCATTCTTATGGATAATTTTAATATTATGCATTTGAAAAATTACCTATAATAAAACATGTATTCAGTTTGAAAAATAAACTGTTAAAAAAATATCTGCTGTAGTTTATCTTTGTTAGCAAGTTTCTACATCATTTAACATTTGTCATATATATTTGCTATCTGACTAAAACCTTTTATCTATTTTTTCACTTGATATATATTTTTTATTGCTAATAAGAAAAGATTGTGAATTCAGAAACTTAAAGCCCAGACCCCAGAGTGATGGCTCAAAGGGCTGTGTCTGTGGCAGTCACCCCCATCCCCCACCCCAACCCCACACATATACACCGCAGGACTGGGAAGATAGCTCTAGAGTTGGGTAGATGCTTTGCAAGCATAAGCCCCGGGTTCCATTCCACACACCACAGGTCTTCAGAGCCTTGCCAGGAGCGAACCTAAACACAGCACTGAAGTTGTGCTTCTGGCACCAGCATGTGTATCACCCAAACCAATCCAACAAACGTTTCTCCATCAAAGTGTCTGATCATGGTGTCCACAACTTTTCCACTTGGAAGTCAACTTTCACAATCATTCCCATGCTTTTCTCTCCACAGCTGTTATACAAGAGCAGGAAGTTCAACTGAACCCAAATCTAGGCCTTCTCAATCAATTCATCGCTTATCCCACCTGTGTTGGCTCGTAAGCACCCAACGGCTCTCGAGGTGTCTCATTTTAACAAAAGAGGCACAGTGTGGGAATGTGCTCCACCCCTTGAAGCTATTATTCTTGTTGCTCTTCCAGAACATTTTTGAATCAGGTGTGCATCTCAGCATGATGAACTTCTTCTCCCACGTAGAATTAACTTCCTATCCTATTAGGAAATGCCTCGAGAACATGATAGGAATGAGTAAATCAACCCTGAGGTAGCAAGCTTACCCTATAAACATATATAGTCTAAATTTAGGTTGATAGAATAAATACAAGCTGGGTATTGTACGTTTTGGTGACATAATTACTGTATATGCGAAACTTGTTTTGAAAATCTAGAATAGATATTTTTAAATGCTTAATAACAGGAAGATTTGGAGATGTTGTATACTGTAATTATACACAATTGTGTGAGACAAAAGAATGAATCCAGTAGCATTTTCGAAGACAGTAGTTAAGATAGCCCAGTGGTTTTATTTTTCTTGTCTTCGATTCAATACTTTCCAGCAGCATTTCAAAAACTCCT